ACTGGTTCACACAAGTCATATATAACAAAAAAGTTGGCTGAAGAAGTAGGCTACAAACCGATTAGAGAGGAACAGCTAGTTCACTCACTGTTCGGAGGAAGTCAAACCGGAACTGTAAATCACATATGCTGCAAGGTTCGTTTGTATAGTCTAACTGAAAATTACTGTTATAATTTTGAAATTTCGGATCAACCACTGATTTGTAACTATGTTAGTTCCGTTACAAAAGGACCCTAGTTAGATCAACTAAAAGAAATGAGGATCGAGACAACAGATACTATGAATGGACCCATCAATGTATTGGTAGGCGCTGATGTAGCTAAAAATCTATTTTCAAGACGTAAACATGATTTAGTGTGCGGACTGGTCGCACTTCAGTTCATACATTACTAGGTTGGACGCTTGTAGGTAAACTGAAGCCATCTTACAAAACAAAACGAAAACATCGTTACTTGTAACTTCTTTGTTTTCAAAAGATTTTGACCTAACTAACTTATAGAATTTGGATGTTCTTGGAATTCAAGGCCCTGTAAAAAATAAAAGAGAAAATTGGAGTAGCTGTTGATATAAAAAAGGCATTTATTTAAATCAGCTTGCAAGAAAATGATCGAAATTTGTTGAAGTTCCTGTGGTATAAGAAAGACGACAACTTAAAAATATTTATAGACATACAGGAGTGGTATTTGGAGTATCATGCAGTCCTTTTCTATTAGGAGCAGTTATAGACTACCACCTTAAGGAAACTTTCAAAAAATCAGAACACGAAGAAGTAATTTACGGTCGTGATGTTATTTCCAAATTAATGAAGTCTTTTTACGTTGACAACGTTCTAGCAAGCGTATGATGGAGAAGCTCTTAACGAATTTATTGAACAGTCTACGTCAATTTTGGCTGATGGTAAATTTGAACTCAGAGGGTGGGAGTATTCAGGGCCGTATCTAGACCAAAATTTTGGGGGGGGGGGGTTAGACAAAGTGGCAAAAAAAATTGTTACACTAGTGATAAAAATTTAAAAAATAAATAAGTATTTAATAAGTGTTGTTTGTTTTTAAGTTAAATTTTTTGAATTTTATTATTTTTCGGGGGGGGTTTGAACCCCCAAAACCCCCCCCCTAGATACGGCCCTGGGAGTATTATTTATCAGAGTAAACTCGATATACGACAGGTAACCAAACGAATTATTTTATCCATAACTCATAAGTTATGTGACCCTATATGGTCTTCGAATTTGGGATGGGACGTTGAGGTCACTGGAAAAATTCGTGAAATATTTTTGAAAGGGCTACAAGATTTACCAAACAATTTGAAATTGGAGCGAGAGAGATTTTTAATCAAGATGAGTTGAATTTTTTCTATGCACTTGTGATAGGTATTTCTACTGATAATTCCATTATTCCGATTTTGATCTTGTCTACAAATCCCTCTCGATCCAATTTCAAAACTTGTGTATGTGTAAATTGTTGAAGTATTAGAGCAAATCATAGAAGACTTCACGGACAAATGACAGCATACACCAAAAACAATAGTAGCACTAAAATTTGAAATAGACAAATTTATTTTGAGAGCGATTTCTCTTTAACTCTCTACTCTAAATTATTACTTTCAACCCTAGAAATATGATAGAGATTCTTATTCATTTAAACAAAATTGATTTTATACATCTCAGCATCCTCTCTGATAAACAAAAAAACGCTCCTTATTTATTTTAGAATCACGAGTACACGAATTAGAAATCTCGAGACTAGAAACAGTGACGTCAGAATCAGACATCTCATCAGGCGTTTGGACCATTTTTATAGATTCTAATCGTTTTGGTATTTAATTAACACTTAACTAGGTATAGTGAATATGTAAACATTTATTGTCCTTGGACTGAGGGTTTTATTATTTTGTTAAATTTCATGCTCTTCTCTAGGAGTAGGATTACACTGATAGGTATTTATAAGTACAATTATGTATTTACTCTATTGTAAGTTTGCTCTATCTAACTCTAAGCTTATCCACTTTAGATTTACTTACCGCCGGTGTAACATATTCACTGGTAATACCAACGATTTCGCGTTTCATTGTTGAATCAAAAAAACCACCTCTAACTCACTCTGTTTGCACTGGCCGCTAACCTACAATTCGACAATGACAGCTCAGGGTCACCTTCAACGGTTAACTGGTCAGACAAACGTTTCTTCGTCCAAACAACGCACGCGTTAGGTCAAAAACCAGACGCTCAATAAAATACAGCCCTCGAAAACTGTGGCACGCAAACAAGTGAAAATACAAGCCACACCCCTAGGAATTTCCGATTGATCTTTTTTTTTTTTTTTGTGAGGGGTTGTTTTCGAAATGTCATAATAAGTGGGTCGGTTGTGCGTGATATGGAGGTCACGAACATAAATGACCAATAAAGAAGAAAATATCAATATTAATTAATTAGTAATTTATGAGTGGAAAATGTAGTACAGGGTTATTGGTTATAAATGTCACCACTCTCTACCTTTTATATTTGACAGATTAGGGTATACAGGGTATTCCTTTTAAAATAAGAAAGTTGGACCACAACCAGCTTTTCTGAAACACCCTGTATATATGAAAGTGAGTTTTTAAAAAACTTAATTTCAACCATAAAACTTTTATTTGGGACAAATGTCAAATAAAAAAGGTAGAGGGGGTAATATTTATACCCAATAACCTTGTACCTAACTATAAAAGAGAGATAAAATTGCGTTAAACCATGTAGAGTGGGTTTTTTAATTTTTCAATTTTTCTGACGTCCATTTTTCAAAGATTTCGGCTATGAGCGCCTTCTATCAATGAAATGGGCTCTTTCACTAAAATTTAAATACATAATTTAAGTATAAAATCCCAAAGGAGGGACTATTTTAGGCATATATACCAAAAAAAGGTTAAATACGTTTTTTACAGGCATTTAAAACTAGCCAAATTCAAAATGATTTAAAACGCGCCGATTGATGACGTCACATAAATATATATTGCAAGGAGCTGACCGGCTCGACTGTGTTACCCTCTGTAAAAGTACGTAGAGGTTCAAATGCGCTGTTGTCGGTTGTGACGAAATGTAGTGCAACGTGAAAGAAATAAATGAAACTAAACATAAAAAATTGTTTTAAATTGTGTTTAAGCATAATTTCAAAAAAAAAAAATGTTATAAAATCTTGAATCCATAACTAATTAATTTAACTACTTTTCATGATATTTTGCCAACATTTCAGAATTAAATCTATTACAAATTTTCATTGTTGACAATTAGTGGCAACACGGTCAAATTTCAAGCTGCGACGTCATAGAAATAAATTCTGGGTTTTTATTTGGCAGTAGTTTTTTTTTTTCTGTTTTCTCAAGAAGGACTATGAATTTTTCAAAAGTAAAAATACAGAAGATTCTGTTTTTAGTTGCTTTATCCAATTATGCCAATTTCAAAAATTAGTGAAAGAGCCCATTTGCAAAGACTCGAACAGTTGTTCCGGTGGCCGCTGGCTCAAAGTTTTGATTGCGCTGTTGCCAGTTGTGAGTAAATGTAGTACGTCGTGGGAAAAAAAAATTAAAACTGATTACAAAAATGTGTATGATAATAATTCAAATAAAAATTTGATGGACTCTTGAATCCCTAAGTAATTAATTCAACTAATTTTCTTGTAAATTTTAGAATTGAATAGGTATGTATATTACAAGTTTTCAGTGCTGACAATGAGTGGCAACACTGTCAAAATTCAAGTTGTGACGTAGTGCGGATAAATTCCGTGTTTTTATTTAGAGAGTTTTCTGTTTTATTTATTTTCTCAACAAGGATTCCAAGTTTCTCAAAAGTAAGTGGTGCAGAAGTTTCTATTTTCAGTTGCTGTATCCAATTATGCCAATTTCAGAAAGAGCCCATTGTCACCATATTAACGACAATCACATTTCTTAATGGTCATACTTGTCATTAGTGTCATGACAAATGAAAAATATAAAGCAGGGCCGACTTCGGGAAAATTTCGAATTTCAGCTAGATTCAATAAGCCGTAATCTCTGAGGAATAAACCAAACCCGAGAAAACTCTTCAAGAATGCAAATGCTGTGAAATAAGTAGGTATGTACGTGACACAAAGATGGGTGTAACGTAAAGTTCGATCAACTAAGAAGAATACACACGCGTTATCGTTTGTGTGACGCCAGTGACTTCTTTTTGGCCGGTTCTTAACGCTATGACTATACTTCAAATAAACTGATTAAACACTATAATGGAAGGGATTATATTGAATAAATAATACCTAGAAAGAATATGAAATAGGTATAACTTGCCTTATTTCTTTCTGCTACTTCTTTGGATTCTTCTACTTGAAACAAATCAGGATTAGGTTTTTTGGGGGTTTTCACTTTTCTTCTAAATAATTTTCTGAACATATTCACCCAATCAGTTGAATGTAATCTTATCGAAGCAAGGTATGGCAAATTACTGGGTACTTTTTTAAACAAATCCAGTGATAGGTAATTCCGACAGCCACAAAGAAAGCCACAAAATAAATAATCATTAGAACGGGTGTGTCTCATGACGATATTTATAACTATGATTTCCACGTATTTACTGATACATAATTTTGACCGAGATATGTAAATTCCGTTTCATAATTAAACAAATTCAAAAAAATCATGTAATATAGAACTCTGATTTTTCTTTGCCCCTATAAGTAGGTAAGTAGGGTAAGTAGGTACCTATCCCAAATGTACGACGACCACTAGTACTAGTAGAGTAGATGTGTTTTGAGTTTCTTTATCTCATGAAAACTTCATATTTTATGTCTACATATTTTCCACAAATAATTTCTTTTGAAAAATATACATAGATAAATCACATAATAATTTTCAAAAAAATCTGGGAAATCAATTATGCAGTTATCATCAACATAACATTTTTCATGAAATTTTCTTTGTTTATCAATAATGTTAAAAATATGTAAAAAAAAAACAAGTTACATGTATTAATTCAAATTTGTGAATCATATTACCTCATTGCTCACGTGACTCCTCACCGAATTCTCATACTCCTCACCATGGTGATGGCCGTGATCCAACTCGACCCTACCCAAATCGTTCAGTATAGAAATCACTCTTTTAATTCGCATTTTCAAAAAAACAAATATGTAATATTGAAATATTCGTACTAGTAAAAAGAATACCCAAAGACTGACCGCCAGTTAAAAATCCTGTGTCGATTGAGAAGTAGAATGCTACGCAATTGACTCTAATTGACGATTATTGGAGTTATTAAGGCGATGGGTTACTTTTCAATTTCAATTTGTTGTTTTATAAGTTTGTGTGTCAGTATTATTATTAATTTATTTTGTTTCAGTACTGTACTGGATATTTATTTTCCGTCCTTGACACTTTTTTTCTCTGTAGAAAATGGCAGAATATGGAAAACTAGAAAGGATAACGCACACCTAACATGGGATGTTTGGGCTCTATGGATTTTGCCCATTTTTTGATATGTTGTAGAGGATTTAATGCTGAACAACCTTTAAATCGGACGAAATCTTGTCTGAAATGAAGTCTTTGAGATATGAGCCTTGAAAGATGAAATTTTTTGCAAGTTTTTGTGTGGAGAGTATACGAAAAACTGGTGTTTATCAGTCAAAATTTTGACAGGTCGACATATTTTACGTCACTATAAATGTCAACATAGGCTAAGGCCGGGACCGCACTGGCGCCAACATTGACCCCAGTGCGGTCTCGGCCTTAAATTGATTGACATTAATTTTAAAGTGACGTGAAATATGTGAACCTGTCAATATTTTGTCTGATAAACACCAGTAGCACCAGTATTTCGTATACTCTCCACACAAAAAGTCGCAAAAAAGTTCATCTTTCAACGCTCATATCTCAAAGACCGTAATACATACAAGATTTCGTCCAATTTAAAGGTTGTTCAGAATTAAATCCTCTACAACATATCAAAAAATGGGCAAAATCCATAGAGCCCAAACATCCCATGTTAGGTGTGCGTTATCCTTTCTAGTTTTCCATATTCTGCCATTTTCTACAGAGAAAAAAAGTGTCAAGGACGGAAAATAAATTTTGAGTTACTTTGAAGGCTTTATATCACTTCTGCAATGTAATTCCAAAAAACAATTTCGAGGTTTTTTTTGTCATCCATTTTTTCAGAAAGTTACGTCATAATTTGTAAACCTATAATAGTTATTTACATTACAAGTGCGTTTATGAGCATGATTACAATAACGAGTGTGAAGGATTAGAACGACGAGGCCGTAGACCGAGTCGTTCTGATCACACGAGTTTTGTAGTCATGTTTAAACGCACGTGTGATGTACAACGTTTTATCTACAAAGCGAAAAATAAGAATATTTTTCCAATTATTTTCGTTTATTAATAGTTGTCTACCTTTATTTTACCTTTACAGGTTTACCTTCGACATTTGTCAAATCACCAAAAATAGTTGTGTTATAGACTCATAACCTCGTCCATAACACCACTAGTTGTGTTATGAATTCATAACCTAGTCTATACCACCACTTGTTGTGTTATGAGTCTCATGACGTAACTCAAATACTAGAAAAATGGTTATGTAAAAACGTCATAACCAAACGCTTGTAGATAAAACAATTGTTTCCTCAATTTCTTGATATATTTGTTGCCATCAACAGGTCCTAAAAGAATAAATATTTTCACTTGCTAACATTTTGGACGAATTTTTACTGGTATACAGGGCGTCCCCAAATCAATCACCCAGTGAATGTGTAGTCTTCATTGAATTTTGCAATTTATTGAAGGTAGGTAGGTATTTAATTTGCTTATTTTGTAAAACCGATCATACAGTAAGTGGCATCATCTAAAAAGCATATGATTTAGGGACACCCTGTACACAAGTTAAAATTCGTCCAAAATGTTAGCAAGTAGAAATAATTATTCTTTTAGGACCTGTTGATGGCAGCAAATATCAAGAAATTGAGGAAATAATTGTTTATAGGTTAACAAATTATGACGTAAAAATGGTTGACAACAAAAACCTCGAAATTGTTTTTTGGAATTACATTGCAGAAGAGATATAAAGCCTTCAAAGTAACTCAGAATTTATTTTCCGTCCTTGACACTTTCTTTTCTGTAGAAAATGGCAAAATTATGCAAAACTAGAAATTTCAAGTTTAAAGTATTCTCTCACACCCTGTATGTTTTGTATAAAGCTTTTTTACGTCAGTTAGTTTTAATTGTAATCATAGCAAGAAAATTTAAAATAGCGGATCCTGAGTTACTGCTATAACTTGTTCACGATGGGTTTGAAGCTCTGGGTGTCATTATAACACTAAATTTGCATTATTTGTTAAACAAAAAAAGATATAGGAAAAAATCCAAAAACGGTTCGATGGATGAACATAATAATCATTCGGGTATGCCTAGGAAAAATAAATAAAAATAATTGTAGAAATGGGGTGGCAACAAAAATTTTGAATTTTTACCGCACTTCCTATATCACCCTGTATAGAAAAACACTCAAATTCTATATTTTTGTGTGTAAAGCAAATTGACAAGGAATCGCTTTCAAAAATGGAGGAAATGGCATATTTTTCGGCTAATTTAAAAAAAAGTTGTCGGATCTCAAAAATTGGTGAAATTTATGCTTGGAACGAACCTATTGTTGAGTAGTTTAGTAGAAATACCAAAACTACGACTATTCAATACAACGGACAAGGCCCCCAAAAAAGAAAAAGATAAACATATAAACATAATTTAAAGTAATTCGTTAACAAATGACGTTTCAATCATTGTTTAACTGTCAACTACTGTTGTGACTACTATGTCGAAAACATTTAAATTTGATAGGGCGCGAAAATATTGGAGATATTGTTTACTTTTTGGGGTGGAAAATTAAAATTAAATAAATTTCAACTTCATGCGAAATTCGTAGTGCTTTTTATTGCCATCTTTGTTTTTTTTTTTTAATTTTGTTCTTCCTTGCAAAGAGGTAAAAACTGTCAAAAAATAATGTCTGTGAAAGGTTATCTGCTATGACAGTTTTTGTCGCAGGTCTCATTGACCTTCAAACAAAAATTTACAAAATTTGAATTAATAACGTTGCCACCGTTAAAATTAATTGTAACTGACATTCACTGAAAAGTTCACAAAACATTTTTTTTTTAAATGCTTTTGTCTTTAGCAAAATGTGGGTTTTCAGCAGTGTTACCAACAACGTCAGAAAGGGCTGTTTTTCTTAAATAACTGACATTAGGTATTGATATAATGTCATGTAAACCTTGGCATGGCAACACAGCTAAGATGAGTAACGAGAATTATTTGAATTTCCAGGGCAGGGCTGCCAACATTGACACATAAACAATGCATTGAACGTCATTTTTAAATAAACGGTTTGATTTTCTTGTCCAATATGTGTAGTTGATTTCATGAGGAATAGGGTACTTGCACAAAATTTCCATTAAAAAATCTCCTTCATATTTCCATGAGATAAAGCCCTTGCCAAATATAAATAATTGTTTTCTTCTAGAAACTCAAAATTAAATTTAATATTATCACTGTTTTTATTTTTCAGAAACGTTTTTGATTGGTTGCAGCACGACTCAGTATCGACGTTGTCGGATTGTCGTTTTATTTCTAGATAAAGTTGTAGGTAGTTATACATTGAAAAAAAAATTGAAATGGTGCCTTGTTGTAGAAATAATTCAAAATCCGAGGAGAGTTAACATTTGAATTACAAAAAATTACAAAAATCAAAACTGAATCATTAGGGCGGAATTTATAGTCGCTCCTTGAGGTTTTCTCAGACCTTAAAAGGAAACCTTGAACGTTTAGAATTGACATGACTTATTTATCAAATAGTAATAAGTGTCCATTCTAAACTCACGACCTTCAAGGAAAACTCAAGGAACGACTATAAATTCGGCCCTTAGCTGTTCAATCAATCAAACTTATCTAATCGAAAGCCATATATTTTGAATATACCCGGCTATTATTGGTTGGTGTGATTTGATTAATTGAATTACATATTTTTCTGCAATACTTATAAAACTGATCGAGCCAATCAAGTGCTTAAAATATTCAAAATTTGAATTTTAAAAATCATAATTTTCGGCTCTTGATTGGTTTTGATTTTATCCGAATCAAATATTTTAGAATAAAGTTAAATTTCAATTATTGATGCTACAATTCAAGTTTTGAATATTCCCGGCGCTTAACTGTTAAAACTTCAAGAGCCGGAAATATTCAAAACATCAAAGTTCAAGATTTGCTGATTTTCCAGTTCTTGATTGGATAAATTTGATTCGAATCAAGAATTAAATTCAATTTTGAATATTTCCGTGTCTTGAATGGGTTAATTGTACAGGGTGGCGCAAAATGAACGTTATGATTTAAATGCTTTATAACTTTTTTATTTTCAAGTGAATTGTTAAAAAAAAAATTTATATACAGTTTATGAATGGAGAAAATTTTTGACTCAAATGTGAAAAATGACATCTCGCAAGTGTCTTGTCATTTTCTGCTTCGCAAAGTCGTGCTCTTTCAGACACATGTTGCATATCTTTTTGCAAAATTTCAGGAGTTATGGCACGGATTTCATTACGTGGTCTTCCGGCACCACGGAGGTTCCTAACTGAACCTTGTTGCTGAAAATTTGCAACCAGACGATTTATTGTTGACACGAAGGGTCCAACACGCACATTAAAATACCGACGATATGCACGCTGCGTAAGAAAAATAATTGAATTTCCATTCGCAAACTAAAATTTAATGATTTTTGTTCGTTGTTGTATCGGGTATTGTTCCATTTTAAATTCCCCAAGTCTTCTTTACAAAATTCTAAAACGAAAAAGAAATTAAAAATTTTAATAAAAAAGTTATAAAACAATCAAATCATAACGTTCATTTTGCGCCACTCTGTAGAAACAATTCAAAAAATTGAGACTCTACTGGATGTAATACCACAGCTGGTAATACTTAAGAGCCGGTATTTCAATGTCAACTTAAAATAACGTTAAAGGCATCCTTAATACAAGTTTCACCGTATATCAAAGTTCCCCTAATTCAAAGTGGCCACCTGAATGAACTGAGTTAACCTTAACGTTAAGGGTATAGGTAAGTCTTGATTTCAAGATAAACTATTTTAACAAATAACTGGAAGTTAACTTCTGGAAAAACTTAAAATGTGACGTCATTCCAGAAGTTAAATTTTAGTTATTTGTCAAAATAGGTGTATAATACCTGCCCCAACTGACAGCTTATACAATTTTTAGACTTCAACGTATGAGTCGTGGACCGTGGTGAAGACGAAAGAAGGACCACACAAAAGGGAGACGCGCATCTGTAGTGACGTCACAAGGATATCAGCGCTCGACAATAATAGGCCATCCTCCTTGCTTATAATCCTTGATTTCTGTCAATCGTTCGTCGGCTGTCATTGGCTGTCTTCCTCCGTCTTTCTACGTTATATCTTCC